AGCCATCTATTAAAATACAAACACGTAGGTCATCAAAACCGTCTAGAATAAAATGTATACTAAACCTTTCAATTACTTTTTTTAATCAATACTATTAATTCTTTAAAATTTATTATTTACATTATTAAAGTGTTCAAGTATGACCTTTTACTGTATGTCTCATTTGATAAAATTTTGTATTAATCATAATAAATGTGATGAGTCTAAATGATATTTATGTCTCTTTATCTAAATATATTTATATTCTTTCTTCTATGAATCCCCCCACCACGATAACAAAGATTTGTTAGAGACTAACGTATAGAGTTCATAGATTTAAGACGGTGACTAGTTTTGACGTTGATTTTGAAGAAGTAGACGGAAAAGGTGAGCTTGATTATGGAAGTAAGCATCGAGAATAAGCGGATTAGATATGGGGAGATTGAATGTTAGAAAAAGATTAGAGAAAATGAAAAGTGTGGAATAGATAGATATAGGTATTGACCTTCGATTTATTGAATTATTTTGAGACATGGTTGGATGCTGTCTATTTCCTGTGTTTCTTACATCATGGATAGCTCCAAACGGGGATGTACTTTAATCCCTGCTTTAAAGTTTCAACGAAGCTAATTGGAAATCTGTGGATTCTTATGTCATATACTTATCAAATTCGGGTTAATAATTATGAGAGCAATAATAGAAAGAGAGGGAGGAATGGAAAGTAGAAGGCAGTAGTGTTATACACATTGTTCAGTGGGCTTAGTAGCGGCCAGCTAATTCCCTCAGACATCGACTTCACACCAACCAAACACTCTCACTTCTCACTTCTCACTAACAGTAACCAAGCACCGTCATTTATATAAAGGGCCACTCCTTCTCTACCCTTCACCATAATCTACACCTTCTCTCATAACAAACACACACATATCGTAATGGACTACGGAAGACTTGGTCCCTCTCAGCCCATCAATCCAAGATCTTCCGGTAAGAAGAAGATTGCCTTGCTGTCACTCTTTGGAGTCATATTAATCGCTGCATCGGCGGTTACGGCCTTTGCGCTACTCTCTCCAACCGGTACAAAAGCGGATGGTTCAAGGCTTCGTCGCAAGCCTACACAGGCCATTTCACGCACGTGCAGCAAAACACGATTTCAGACAGTGTGCGTCAATTCGCTGCTGGACTTTCCCGGATCCCAGGCTGCATCCGAGAATGACCTGCTTCACATTTCCTTCAACGTCACGCTGCAGCACTTCTCCAGGGCGCTCTACACTTCCGCCGCAATTTCCTACGCCACCATGGATCCACGCGTCCGCGCCGCCTACGACGACTGCCTCGAACTCCTCGACGATTCCGTCGACGCGCTTGCGCGCTCCCTCAGCACCGTCTCCCTCGGTGCCGTTGGCTCCGCCAACGAAGACGTCCTCACCTGGCTCAGCGCCGCCCTCACCAACCAGGACACCTGCGCGGAGGGCTTTGCCGACGCCGCCGGTCCGGTGAAGGACCAGATGAGTAACAACCTCAAGGACTTGTCGGAGCTCGTCAGCAATTGCCTCGCCATTTTCTCGGCAGCGGCCAACGGCGACGACTTCTCGGGCGTTCCCATTCAGAACAGGAGACGGTTGATGACAATGCGAGCCGATAATTTCCCGAGATGGTTGAATCGACGAGATAGGAGATTGTTGAACTTGCCTCTGTCGGCGATACAAGCCGATGTCGTGGTTTCCAAGGACGGTAACGGAACCGTTAAGACCATCGCCGAAGCCATTAAGAAGGTCCCGGAATACAGTTCACGCCGCTTCATTATCTACGTCAGGGCAGGAAGGTAAAATACTTCGTACCAAACACAAAAAATATAGCTACTCTATTTTTTTAACTTTCCTGATTCTTTTTAACCACGTAACTAGTTAACCATCACTTTTTTTAATGATTGTTGTTTCCATGTTTTGTTGTACTAAGTGAGTGTTAAAAGGTCTGTGAACCGTGCACCGTGGGTTGCGTGGTGGACTCGTTGGTATTGAATCATCTTGCTTGGACTCGGCACTGTGGTCACGTGAACAAATTTTAACAATAATATTATATAATATTTTTATTTTTCAATTTCTTCCCTCCTCTCTTGCACTGATTAGAAAAAAGTGTGCTGACAACATTGTTTGGTGTAATATGTAATATTTGTCATCATAATGACTTGCATGTGGTGTAGGGCAACGTAGTATTTACAAATGTCTCGATGCCACCATCCCCATTTATTGATCTTGACATATTAACGGTAAAAGTGCGTTAAAAATACCGTATTAATGAAGCAGTGGGGATTAAAACTGATTAAATAGTCTCTTTTAAAGAAATAATTATTAAATTGTTAGTGATGTGGTAATGTTTAAAAAAAGTTGCATGTGCATGGATTTTAACTGTATTGATTTTAGGAGAACATGTATGTATGTTTTGGTTATGGTAGTTGAGGAGGTTACGAAAGACAGAAGCTCTAACATTTTTTTGTTGATACAAATTTCAATTCAGGTATGAAGAGGAGAATTTAAAGGTGGGGAGGAAGAAAACAAATGTGATGTTCGTAGGGGACGGTAAGGGGAACACCGTCATCACAGGAGGGAAAAATTATTATAACAACCTCACCACATTTCACACGGCATCCTTCGGTAAATTCCTTCCCTTTCTCCTCTCCCTCATTCTTATTACTATGATTTCCTCACTTTAATCCTTACTTAATGTATTTTATAATTTTTCAAAATTTAAATACAAGCTATAAATGAGTCATAATACAGTATCAACACATTTTAACGAGTCGCGTAAAGATTGCAAAAGTAAAATTTGACAATATTTGGTCATAATTTAAAAGAAAATACAGTGTTTAAGAGAGAGAAAAGAGGTAAGGAAAAGGTCAGAACATGGACATGATGAGGAAGACTAGTACACGTTGCACGTGGCCTGCTATTCCTGGTTGCCATATTTAAGATTCCTTCCCGTTTAATAGTTTGTCTAAGTGAGCCTTGGATCTCCACCACCGATTATATTGTTTTCTTTTGCTTGTTGTTATAACCAAAGTCAATGTTTAAGAGAATGAAGTTACATATATACCCAATTTCTAAAGTCATAAAACATTTTAGAAATGTTCCGCACTGTTTTTCCCGTTACTTCCATAGCATTTATGCCTAATAAAAAAGGATACACTTTATTTCTTTCACATTATGAGAAAAATGTTTTTCTGCCGATTTGCTGTTCAATTCCAGTTTTGGTCAAGGTTTTAACTTTGGAAGTTTCCCTTTCCTTAATGTAAAATGTCTTTGTTTTCCCTATATGTGTCAAAGTCTCTGTGCTCTAATATGGTATAGTTTAGTTGTTCTTTTTGTTTTTTGAGTCTTGGTATTACAGCACAACCAAAATTTACACTATCACTAGTTTGGCTTGTCCAGACTGAGCATTATGGATTTAAAAATAAAACAACAAAATAGCATTTGATGTTTGATCCACGTCAGCATATCAGTGCTTGGTCGCTTGCATTATATATTGCTGATATATAATGCGCTTTGCGTACGTCTAATTCCTATCTTTAGATAAACTTTGAACTTTCCAATTCAGTAGACTGAAAGGCATGTTTCTCTTATTCGTTTCATTTTGCATTTCCATGAGTAGTTGTAAAAGTGACGTTTTATTTTTTGTTTTGGAAATTTTGTATTAAAATTTTTAAAAACATCATTATGTCGTCTTCATGATTTCTGTAAAATTGATATTTTAGTAAAATGAATCAAATTATTTAATGAGAAGACATTTGACATTTATTAATGATCAGAAAACAACACTCTTTTTTGTTTTTCGTTTCATTGTTTTGTAATGCTGGCATAAGAAAAAGAGATAAAAAAGAAAAGGAAATGGGGATCCTCTGGCTTCACGCATCTTGACCTCATAAACCGTAGTACTCCTAAATGTTAATTTTATCCTCTAACGAAAGGCACCAGATTAAAGTAGCGAAATCAAATTATTGTGAGTGGGTCATGCAATGCTTGGGAAATTGATAAACAAAGTCACATTATGTCCAACAGCGACAGAATATTCAAAATGATTAAATACGAGTCCACTGGTTCACAGCAAATATTAATTCAAATCAACCACCAATACAATAAAGTTTTCACCTTATTTTTATTTACAAAAATAGTAAAATGTTGATCCTGTGGTGCAGCTGCTAGTGGTTCTGGTTTCATCGCCAAGGACATCACATTCGAGAACTACGCCGGACCAGAGAATCACCAAGCTGTGGCTCTCCGTATCGGAGCGGATCACGCGGTGGTGTACCGCTGCAACGTCATCGGATACCAGGACACAATGTATGTCCATTCCAACCGTCAATTTTTCCGCGAATGCGACATTTACGGAACCGTCGACTTCATATTCGGCAATGCTGCCGTGGTGTTCCAGAACTGCAGTCTCTGGGCCCGCAAGCCAATGGCCCAACAGAAGAACACCATCACGGCCCAGAATCGCAAAGACCCGAATCAGAACACGGGCATTTCCATCCACAACTGTCGGATCCTTGCCACATCGGATCTAGAAGCATCCAAGGGTAGTTTTTCCACTTATCTCGGTCGTCCGTGGAAACTTTATGCCAGAACCGTCTACATGATATCCTACATAGGGGATCACGTGCACCCACGTGGGTGGCTGGAGTGGAACACGTCCTCGTTTGCTTTGGACACGTTATACTATGGTGAATACATGAATTCTGGGCCGGGTGCAGCCTTGGGGCAACGCGTGAAATGGGTCGGATATCGGGCCATCAATTCCTCCGCTGAAGCTTCTAAATTCACGGTAGGGCAATTCATATCAGGCTCATCGTGGTTGCCGTCTACCGGAGTTTCATTCGTAGCTGGGTTATCAACTTGAAAAATTGTTCCACTACCAACTCAGACACCTTCCATTATTGGTTCACAGCTTAAACCAAATCAATTTGCCAATATAATTTTAGATCTTTTATTGGTAACTGTACTAAAGTCCAATATAGTTTTTATTTTTTTAATCCAATGATAATAATAAAAATATATTGTAAAGAGTGTTTTAATGTGATATTTTTGTTCCTCTCCTCAATCCATGTCAGAGTTGTTATAGTACTTTCGTTTTACCGACAGAAAATTGAGGAGAAAAACTGACCGACAGAAAATAAAGAAGGAATAGAACACAGTTTATATTGACTGAGTGGCCACGTGGCAATTTGATGTGTGAATAGCACTTTATCATTGTTATTTGATTCATTTGTAAAGTGTTCCTGAAATATGCAAAAGAGAAAAATAGAAAGATGCCAAGGAACTCATTATTATAGAGATAATAACAATAATATTATAGCTATCATTACTCTTCCTATCAAAATCATACTTCCATGACTGTATTCTATAAATTTTATTTTCACTGTTTATGTTATCTAATCGTTATAATAGTATAAGACCATTGTCATTATCGTGACATCTATGCCATCCACCATTTTATAATAGTAACTCTATCATTTCATCTTTAAATTAGTTAAAACTAAAATTAAATTATAATAAAATAAATAATAACAACTTTTGTTTATATATTGTATACATAACTTGATGTCGACTGTAAAAATTTATAAATAAGTATTTGATCTAAAGAGGAAAAACTCAATACTGACGTTTGTGAACTTTTAGTCTCTGTTTTTTGTTTTTCTTGAGGTGGGGGCATCGCGTTTATCACCTGTCATAAGTTTATTTTGAGGTTCTCAATTTACTATATATATATATATATATATATATATATATATATATATATAAATATAATATCTTAAAATATTATAGAATGAAGTTATGTCGCCGAGTACGACTTTGTATTATATATCATAAGTTATATAGATTTCAATGTTTTTCTTAATTTCATTTTAAAGTAAAGTCATGATAAAATTGAAAGACTTTAATTTAATTTTTTTAGAAGTGAAATCGTCGTAGGAATAACAATTTCAGTTGGATTTTTTTCTGTAATTTTTATTTTATTTTATTATATTTGGTAGATGATACCGAAGATTAAAAACAACAAAGAAAACTATTTTAATTATTTTTAATTTTCTTCGAGTTCGTATTAATATAAATTACTATAAGTTTTATTTGTTTTACTATTTTTTATGTATTCAATTAATTAAACTAATTTTAAATATTAAATTAATTAAATAAAAAAATATAAACATAATAGAATAAAAATTAAAATAATCATTAAAAATTTCAACTAAACTCATCTCCATATAATGATTTTACTTAAAAGGAAAAAGTCTTAACTCCTACGACTTTAAAAAGAAGTTTTGTAAAGACTTTATACTCAGAAAGCATTCAAGGACAAAATCTTGAATACCAAACAAAGACATAGCTCGACTTAATTCACACCGATTTGTGTGGACCATTAATTAACCCTTGAGTTTTTTTGTAGCAAAAAATTTATCTTGTTCATGAATGACTTTTCACGGAAGACGTGGATATATTTCTGATATGGAACAACATACCTAGATAGAAATAAGTCTAAGAAGTAAATAAGAACAATTAAGAAATGAAATTAAAAGAGTAAAAATGTAAGGGAGAAAGGAGAGGAAACTTATGAATTGGAACATGTTGTCATTCTTAAAACTCTTCATTCTTACTGCATCTATGATCATATCAATTTCTTACGAGAGAGAAATCCAAGGTGTTCGAGGTATTTAAGAAGTTTAAGATGATGGTTGAGAAGAAGACTGGGAAGCCAATAAAAGTTGTTTGATCTGATAGGGAAAATGAGTTCATATTAGCAAAATTCATGGAATATTGTGAGGAACATAAAATAAAGCGTTTCATAACAGCTTCATACTCAACATAACCAAAAAATGTAGTAGAAAAGAAGAATCAAACTATTCTCAACATGGTTTGGACCCTTCTCAGAAGTAGGAACATGCTAGAGAAATTCTAGGCAAAAGCAGTACATTGTGCTATTTATGTCCAAAATAGATGCCCACATGCGAAGCTAGAAGAGAAAATGCACCAAGAAGCTTGGAAGAGGAGGAAACCAAATGTGAAACACCTCAAAGTATTTGGCAGCATGACCTATGGTCACATTCCAGCACAACAAAGAACTAAATTGGAAGAGAAGAGTAAAAAATATGTGTTTATTGTGTATAAGAAAAGGCCAAAGCATATTAGTTATACAACCCAACAACTAAGAAAGTTCTGGTAGGCCGAGATGTGCAATTTCATGAACAGAATGAATGGAGTTGGGATGAAATGAAGGAAAACTTAGGTGTAAGCACAAAACATGGAAAAGAGAGCCCGACAATTGAAGATAGGAGCTCAACCAATGTAAGCAGGAGCTCAACCAACGTGAATGGGAGCTTGGCAGGTGGAGATGGAGGCATGGAAGAAGTTCAGGATGATGAAAATACTTGTTAGAAAAGAAGTGCCTTGTTTCTCAACACCAAGAGGGGGAGGGGAGGTGAATTGGTGATTAATAAAAACGAATGCTTTTTAAATATTTTCACAAATTTTGAATGATCTTGAATCTTTCTTGTAATCTAAGTAATACGCGTATGCAATTCAAAGTAAAAGAGATAATGAAAGAAGAACAAACACAAGGTTTTTATCCTGGTTCGGCCTTAATGCCTCCATCTAGTCACCTTCCTAATCAACCTTAGATTGAAGGATCTTTCACTATAATGATTTGAGATTTACACCAAAGGTTTTACAAAGAACACATTCTCATAGTGTAAACACCTCTCCCACTCACAATCAAATATAGAAAGAAAACACCTGCACAAAAAACCACACGTCCTTGCTGCAGAACCCTTTGAGACCATCTCTCAAAGTTAAGAACTCCAAGTTCTTCTTCCTGTCACGCACGAACAGGGAACCAATATCTGAGATTGCAAAAACACATTTATGATCAATGTAGAAACACCTCAGTAGTGTAGAGTATGATCAGCCAATAACGTCCACAATGAGCAATGCGTCAATATATATTTATCTCATGATAGACGCAGATTAATAAATTACGATAGTAATGTAATCTATTACATAAGTGACAAATGTAACAATATTTCAATTCAAACAGATTTAATTGAATGCACAATTAATGTAATCTATATGCAATTACTGCTAGTCAACATATTTAAAAATATGATCGTTGAAACAATTATGACTTAACTTTAAAACAATTTTCAAAACATAACAGACTTAATTGATTACATACAAGTGTAATCGATTAAGCTAAACACTTAAGCAAATTTTGAAACATTGGATCTTTCATTTATTGAAAGGCCTCTTACTACCTTGACCTCTAGATGAATTGCCTCCTTTAGAACTGAAATTATCACGATGGTAATTTGATTTGCTCCCAAGATCATAATCTTGAGAAGTTGAACCATGTGTTTCAATATTTCGATCTGTACTTCTTCTTCATTTATCATTATTCTTTATATCTATCACCTTTTTCTCGTCTGCCTCTAAGGAGTTTTGCAATTCTTCCACAATTATCTTCTCAAGATCTTTTGAATCTTCAATGGCTACTACAATTTGATCAAAGTTGGGTTTTAATGTTCTGATAACCTTTTCCACAATGTTCGAATTAACTATTTCTTTATTACAGGCTCACATGGAGTTTGTCACCACCTGAATTCGATGAAAATAATGTACTATGATTTCTTATTGTTCAATACGGTAAAAACTATTTATGAGATTAATCTCCCTTGGATTAAACATACACATAGGATACTCTATTTATAATAAAAAAATATGGATTAAACCGAAAATAAAAATAAGAAATAATAACAAAATAACTAAAGATAACATATAAAGATAAGATATATATCTAAAATATATAATAATATAATATATATAACACTCTCCCTTAAGTTGGTGTATACAAATCGTATGTACCAAGTTTGTTAAAAATATAATAAATTCTCGATCCCCTTAAAGATTAGTGAAAATATCTACGAATGCACTCGAGTTAACTGAAATTGTTAATAATTTGCGAAAACGATATAGAAGATGATATACTAACCAAGAAGACTCCCTTGAGCAACAAATCTAGCAAATTGTCATTAAGGAACATATTGTTGACATCCAGTTGATAAAGAAGTTATTATTGAAGAACCACCATGGCTATAAATAAACTAACATAAACCATCTTTGCCATGAGAGAAAAAATATATATGGACCGGTCAGATGCATCGGTGACAAAAGAGAGGTCAAACCGCAGCGGAAGAAGACATGCACAAACAAGAGAGACAACCCTAAAAATCCATGATTCTCCTATCAAGGCACCAAGCATAGACCATAAGAGAGGAGAAAGAGGCGACCTCAACACTCTAAATCATTGTGAGAGAGGANATGTAGTAGAAAAGAAGAATCAAACTATTCTCAACATGGTTTGGACCCTTCTCAGAAGTAGGAACATGCTAGAGAAATTCTAGGCAAAAGCAGTACATTGTGCTATTTATGTCCAAAATAGATGCCCACATGCGAAGCTAGAAGAGAAAATGCACCAAGAAGCTTGGAAGAGGAGGAAACCAAATGTGAAACACCTCAAAGTATTTGGCAGCATGACCTATGGTCACATTCCAGCACAACAAAGAACTAAATTGGAAGAGAAGAGTAAAAAATATGTGTTTATTGTGTATAAGAAAAGGCCAAAGCATATTAGTTATACAACCCAACAACTAAGAAAGTTCTGGTAGGCCGAGATGTGCAATTTCATGAACAGAATGAATGGAGTTGGGATGAAATGAAGGAAAACTTAGGTGTAAGCACAAAACATGGAAAAGAGAGCCCGACAATTGAAGATAGGAGCTCAACCAATGTAAGCAGGAGCTCAACCAACGTGAATGGGAGCTTGGCAGGTGGAGATGGAGGCATGGAAGAAGTTCAGGATGATGAAAATACTTGTTAGAAAAGAAGTGCCTTGTTTCTCAACACCAAGAGGGGGAGGGGAGGTGAATTGGTGATTAATAAAAACGAATGCTTTTTAAATATTTTCACAAATTTTGAATGATCTTGAATCTTTCTTGTAATCTAAGTAATACGCGTATGCAATTCAAAGTAAAAGAGATAATG